GGGACCACAATGATACAACTACAATAAGCCAGAGAACACATGATGGAGCACAGCAAGCGCTATAATGTGAAAGAAGTCAGAAGTGGTTGGATTCTACTTATGTTTATAGAGGGAGAACAGGACTTTCTGAAGATTAGTGTGGGAGAGAAAGTAAGAGCTAAGGAGACTCTAAAGTTTCTAACAAGCAAAATCTACTGCAGTGGAAGACAACTTCAGAAAAAAAAGGTTAGCGAGGAATTCGGGACATGTCCAGTTTGAGATGCTCATTTTTTATCCAGGTGAAGATACAGATGTGAGTCTGGAATTCTGGAAACTGGGAGTCAATACATGTTTGGAAAGATAAGGAAGAACCAACAAAGGCAACTGAGAGACTACTGCTATCTGTGGCAAATAGGTGAGGGTGACCACCTGTTATGGTTGTGTCTGGGTGTCCCCCCAAAGCCTCATGTGGTCATGGGGCAGGCTTTTAGAGTTTGATTGATTATGGGTGTGAGAGCTGCACCCGTCCTGGGGTGGATAGTTTGCATATGTAAGGGAGAGCAAGAGGCTGCTTGGGGCAATTCCTTGTGTGTGCTTGTTGCCTTGCATTGTTCTGCCACCAAGAGCTATAGCTCTCTGCCATGTGACACTCTGCCTTGTAATCTGCCAAGTATGGACTGAAACCTCCACAAACTGTAAGCAAAATAAACCTTTCCTTCCTTAATTTTGGGCATCAGGTATTTTGTCCTAGCAACAAGAGAAAAGTAGCCAAGACACCACCTGAAATCCAAGTCAAGAACACCAGGAGACAGTAACGTCAGCTGCTACGGAAACATCAAGACAAACTGGAGAGCATTCAGCATGGATTCTGCAACAAATACGATGATCGCTGGCTACAGATGGGCAGTCGAAAGCCTGATTGGCGAGGACTCAAATAGATGACCAGATAGAAACTGGGTACATTAAGATCTTTTGCTGAAAAAAGAAAGAAAAATGGGAGAATGGCAAGATAAAGAATTAAACTTGAGAGGAGCACATGTGGATGCTGATGAGACAGACGGGGAGAACTAAGTCGAGGAAGTGGGATGGGGTGTGAGAAAGTCAAGCCATAAGCTTGCCTGGGCAAAAGGAAAAAGGAGGAGTGGATGGTCTGGGCTGGCATCAGCTGGCAGCACAGCCACAGAGGGAGAGAAGTTTGGCGACAAGGGCATTACAGCAGGGAGTGGATGGATGGAGTGGGCTTGTGCAAGTGCTCTTCTGATTGCTTCCATTTTCTCCATGAAATTGAATAACTTCTCCAGTTGGACTGAAAGTGAGGGAAAGTATTGAAGGTGAAAAAGAAAGAGAAAACCATGAAACAAACAGGTGCTTAGCAGGTGGGGAATGGCTTCATATGAAAAGGTGCAACCAGTAGCCAATGTTAACATGCAGCAAAAGCCCATTTCATCACCATTAATGATCGGCAATTAAAGTGATACTAAGCCCATCTTGTAGATGTTGTGGGCACCCAAAATATAGCTGAGATTTTGATGAATAATTCTCACACTCACAATCTCACACACATGATTCCACCTCAGAGCCCCTACTGAGTAAAGTAGATATTCTCCAACATGTTTATTACCCACCCACAGACATGTACTCAGCCCTAATGAGATATCCCAGGAGAATGAGAGAGTTCTCACCACTTCATTTGGGCTGAATTTCATCCTCCTCTCCCACCCCAAAATTCATTTGCTGAAGTCCTAATACCTCAGAATGTGACATTTGGAGAAGGAAATGTACAGAGGTAATTAAGCTAAAATGAGGTCACCGGAGTGAACCCTAATCCAGTATGGCTGATGTAGAGAAAGAAAAGGAAATTTGGACATGGACATGTAAGGACTATGTAAAGACACCAAAAAGACAGACAGCCATTATGAGCCAAAAAGGGAGGTATGGAATGAATCTTTCCCCTACAGCCCTCGCAGCCAACATGATGACCTCAGGCTTCCGGACTCCAGGATTGTGAGCAAATACAGTTCTATGGCTTAACAGCCGGCTAGTCTATGCTACATTGGTATAGGAAATGGCAAAAAACTAATACAGTGCCTAGTAACAATTCTTTTTTATTTTCAAGAGAAAAGGAAACAAAATAACAACAACCAAGGCAAAACCAAAGAACACACAAAAAAAATAAAAATGACACAGAATTTCAAAACAAGGTGATAGGAGGTTAACAAAGGTGTTATATTACATATTGTTACCTTCAGGGAAGTGGCTCAGCTTACCAGATGTAAGAATGCATAAAAAATAATAAAAAGAACATTAGAAATGATATAGACCTTCACCAATCAAGATAGTGGGGATTCAACAATGGTTGTTTTGTTGCCTATTATTCTCTTCAAATTAGTTGTTCAGATTTCCAGGTATAATCATGCAAAATTGATCAAAAAAAGAAAAAGTTAAGCATTAAACTGCTCCTTTCAATAAACCAATAGACATAAGCAGTACACAAATTAGGACAGGAAGAAACTCTAGTCTCCAGCTCTCTGGCAGGTAAATTCTTTAGGACCTTTTATGTGAAACTCCATGAGCAACAGTAATAACTAGTTTTAATACACATGTATTTTATGGGGTTTCCCAATTCCTTATCTTGACCCTCATTAGATCAACCCATTTTCTTGGGATCATTCCCTAAAAAAACTGCCTACACCCAAGTTCTTGTCTTGTCAAACATTGCACTCAGAAGAGCTAAAAGCGACACAGCAATTTGTGTTTCTACAATGACAGTTGTTCTTGAATCACTTTCTCTTCTTAACTCTTTCAGACCTTACACACTTGGTTTCCCGTTACTTCAAACGCCACACCTTGGATTTTGACCTCTTCTGCTCAACTTTTTAGGTGTGAGTGACCATTCAGTCTTTGATATCTCTGTGTATTCTCCTTAGGCTATCAGAAAGTCAATGCTCAGTCCACACTGTCTTTGTTCCATCGGCAGGGTTTGGTACAATTAGTCTCTGATATACTTTCTTGATATACTTTCTTTCTTTTTCTGTTTTTGTTTTTGTTTTGAGACAGACTCTTGCTGTGTAATTCTGGCTAGTTTTGAATTCACTTCTCACTTTATAGCCCAGGCTGACCTCAAACTCATGGCAATCCCCCTGCCTTTGCCTCTTGTGTGCTGGGATTATAGGCATGCACCACCATGCCCGACTGATGTACTTTCTTGATACTTGATAAATAAGGCTTCCAAGATACCCTTAAAAGAAATTTGCATGGCAAAAATGAGAAGCAGCAGATAATTTGTAATTCTTACCCATTTTCACTTGCCTGTTAATTTTCTTTGTGGCATAAGACAGGCAAGATTTACAAATGTTCCACTTCCTCCTGTAATATCTTTTGACAAGGACCAACAAAGGGTTCTGAATCCTTTGGGAGAGTCACATAGTCAGCATCATGGGCACTGCGAGCTGACTTTGCATATGTGTTCTAGTACATTCTCCTCTCTCTGTCCTCATGTTGCATCCTTCTCTTCTTCCAGTCAGCCGTGTGGACCTCTTGCTTCAGTGTAACACACAAATACAACGCCCTTACAGAGACTGTGTACACAACTTTCACAATTGTATAAAGTCAAATCCCTCTAACAAAATCCATCCAGGCATCCATTCTGGAAATATCCACTATAGAGACAGAGGTCAGCAAAGGGATTTGTTCAGCAGATTTCAATGTGCAGATATGCTTTTTTTTCTCTACTTGAATTCTTGCTGACAGAGATGTCAACAGATATCTCCAAGTCAGTAAGTCCAAAGCTTAATTCCTGATTCCTCTTTCAATCTCCACAAAAAATTGCTAAACCTGAAATCTTTCCCATTTCCTCCAACAGTGAGCCCATGATCTTCAAAGTCATCATTGTTTTCTATTTTTGGAGATGCCTCTCATCCAAACAATTAGAAATATTGCTAGTCTACCTTCAATATGGACCTAGAAATGAAGAGGGGTTGATGGTATTAGAAGATTCCCCATGTGTAATGAATCTAATAAAGGATCATGAGTGGCTGCTAAAAACCAGAAAGGCAATGACAGTTCTAGGTCACCTGATGTAAATATCCAACACCAACTCTAACATCAATCAAAGCTGGGCCAGATGATAACTCTAGATATAACTACAAATTTTCAGAAATTATGGGAGTCAGAAGAATTTATTTGAACAGAGATACAATTAACATTATACTAGATGTAGCACACTCCAGAAGACAGTTACTCACTGTCTTCTAAAAAATAAATAAATTCTAAAGAAAAATAAGGTAACAAAGATAGAAAGAAAGCAAACCAAAAAGTTTTATGACTTAAACGACATAGCAATGTGCATCTTGGCAAATGCAAAGTGTGGTCTTTTCTGAATACTGACTCAAACAAACCAGCTTAAAAATGATAAGCCAATTAGTGACACTTGTATGCTTAGTTGGTATTTGATAATATTATGAATCTTATTAACATTTATGTATGATCATTATATTGTTGCTACATTTTAAAGAGCCTTTTTTGGATAATTATAATACAATAATTACAGAATGGATAATATTATATTTTGTAATTGCCTCAAAGTAATTCAGTGCAGGGGGGGGCATTCTGTTTATTGTGAGGTTTCACATAATAAAAACTCTTTGAGGGGGTCTTTTTGAGACAGGGTTTCATTATACAGTTCAGGCTGATCTTGAACTCACTTTGTAGCCCAAGCTGGTCTTGCACTCACAGCAATTCTCCTGTCTCAGCCTCCCAAGTTCTGGGATTACAGGCATGCACCACCATGCTCTGTTAAAAACTTCTTAAAATCATATTAAAACTTACTTTCATGATAATTTTAAAGGCATTGAAAGAAAACACGCTTTACTGAGATGGCAAAGAGGGAATAATCTAAGTCACCGAGAGTATTTTTGTTGACATTACGCTAAGAGAAAGACAATACATGCTCAGAAACAGACAAGAGAACGGAGTAAGTGTATTTCTTGCCAAAATTTTATTTAAATTTCTGTATGGCATAGTTCTGTTCGTTTTTTTTAAAATTGTTAAGAAACAATTATAATGAATTTTCATGAGTCAAAAATACTTTCTAAAAATCACAGAGTGTCTTTCTTCAGGTTCGGCATCCAGATGAAATTCAATTCATAACTTTCTGAAAACATGTTAGAACACTTTCCTGTCTCTCTTCTCATTTTATACCACATGACTCTGCGCTATTTTTAAAGGAACACAATTTGCCAAGTGGAAAATGTTTTTATGTTCTATAAAAGATAAAGAGCTTTTTTTTTTGCTCCCAGGGATGTTTTACACATTAACCTGTTTTGCTTTCTGAGAATTAATCACATGTGCCTTGCTTGTATCTTTTGACTTGTTTTGCTCCAATAAAGGAAAAGCCATGCTGGTGGGGAAGTTCAAAGTAATTGAAATTTCCCAAAGATGAGATTCCTATAATCAGCTCATGCCCAGTTCCTGTTGTTTTTAGATAGGTCTTTCGTCCTCGGGATGCTTGACAAGTTTCTGGGAAACCGACAATAGGCCTGTCTCAGGAGCAGCTGGGGACTGTCATCCTCAGGGTTTGAAATTCAAGGTCTTGGTTTGGTGTAGAAGCAAAGTTTTTCTTGGCAGATGAAAGATTACTAAGCGGAGGAAACAGTGTCAAATGGAACATATCAGAAGCGCTATGAGAACAAGGCCATCCTCAACCTAAATGAATACCACAAAAACCTATTGGAGACACTGTTCTTCAGATTTAGCCTTAAAATCAACAGGAAAGTGCATCACAGCTACTGAAGCTTTTCTCGTCCTTCAGGATGGGATCTGGAAATTACAATCAAAGGCTCTTTCCAGTTTTCTCCTCCCTGGTGTCCTGTACCCAAGCATACGCTTTCCAATTAGTCCTCCAGCAAGCGAAATAGTAACACAGAGGAGCTCGGAAGAGGATGTACTACATTTATGTACACAGTTGACCCCAAATCACCAATATTTCCTTGCTGAATCCACATCACAACCATGTTATATTGGTTGTTACTAACTAACCACATGTTATGGGAGATAACATAAGATAGGCCCCCTCAAAGTCCTACCTACGTGTGGGATATACAATGAGTAAAGAGGAACATGCTTTCTTGAGCTGGCTTTTTCCAGTTTTTTGCCCAACATTTATTGTCCGGTTGCAATTAAAATACAAGGGGTGAGCTATCCCTCCATCTTTCTGCAATTCTCCTACCTTTCTTTCCCATCATGTTTCCTACACATAAAAAAATAGGGCTTCAGACTCTTTAGATCCTATTTTCCAAGGCTCCCACATCTTAATTGCCCCCCCCCCCCGGGCAGCCTGTGAAATGATTCTGCTGCCCTCTGAAGACCCCTACTGTGGCCAGCTAGTAATAACGCTCAGGAATGTGCTATTTACCCCATGAACCAGCACACTGTAAAACTGTTGTTTTCACATTTCCCTGAATAAAATCCAGACAATAAATCTGGTTTCTTTTATATTTTTAATAGTGGAAATGTGTTTGTGATTTTTAAAAAATCCTTTCTGTCCAAAGGAGGTATAATACGTACCACTCAGCAGTCTCAGAATCTCCTGTCAAAAGAAACAATTGCAGAACTTTAACATAATTATATGGTACTCTATAGAAAAAAAAAATAACTTGTACAAAGTGACATATGGTTTTACCTTACGGAGATGATATCTGAAAACATTGAAGCTAATATTTATAACCAGTGACTAGGAAATTCAAAAAATTATGGGACCAAGGCTGCTAGCAGAGAATGCTTATAAAGGACACTTCCCTTTGTAGGGGCTCATTCTGGGGTTTGCACAGGGATTCGGACTTAGGGGGTTTTGCAGCAGTTCTTAATAGTAGGGACAATCCACATTTTCCTCTCTTGAAGACTCACAAGTGCTGTCTTACATAATGAATTGTTCTTAAGGACAAAACAGAAGAACTTTGTGACACTGCAGTTAAAAACCTAGAATTGTAAAGCTAGGCCTATTTTAAGAAGTTTAAGTCTAATTCAGAAAAGAAAATGACTTGTTATCCTGTATTCAACCATTCCTTCTCATTTTCATGGTTTAGTTGGAGGTTGATGCTTGTCAATTTCAATTTAAGTAAATACTGGCAATCTTTCAAGATTTTGCTGAAATTCACCTTCCATCTAGATAAATCTACCAGAAGACTTTCATTAAACATAACTCTTGTATCTGTGAACTCTTTTGGCCCCTACTGTATATTTTTATTGCTCTAACCATCACTGGATAATAAATAAAAGTTCACTGACTAAGTTGGCACATCATTTATTTTACACATTCTGAAAAACAATAATTTTATTGCTATTCTTACAATAAGTATTTATTTATTTTTTGGTAGTACCAGGAATCAAACTCATGACCTCGCACTTGCCAGGCAGGTGCTATGCCGCTGAGCTATATCCCGGCCTTCTTACAATAAGTATTAGGAAGTAAAATTTAAATTATTGGTGATGGGGGTTTAGCTCAGTGCTAGAACCTTGCCTAGCATGGAAAAAGCCCTGGTTTGTTCAATCCCTACCACTGCAAATATACATATACAAAAATTATTTAATATATCTAATGAATGAGAATATGTAAGGCAAATAAATATGCTGATGATAGAGAAAATAATACATTATAAATTATAAATAAAGATCAGAAAAATTTTCTTAAGAATTAAAGCAACAGTGAATGCATACTTATAAATAACAATTTCTCTAGTACTCAAAGGCACTGATAGCTTTGTTTAAAGTAACTAGATATTTTATTTTAAAGGAGTTCCTACCTCCCTAAGGTAGGCCAGTAAGTATGCCAGGTATAATATAACCTTTAATTCTTAGTGAAATAAGTTTTCCCTCTTAAATTTCACACCAATTTTTCATACAATGTCATCATTCCATTGAGAAAAACTTTGCTCAGTTGTTATACTGAATTTTACATTCTATTGTCATAAAAGCACCAAGAATGATGAACAAATTTGCATGTTGTTTTCATCCAAAGAAAGTTGTTAAAATAAGATAGGTAAATAAGTATAACCTGAGTCGTGTCAAAAATAAGAGTCCTCCAAAGGAGGACAGTATAATTTCCTTCCAACTCTTTGATTTTCAGGATGGAGAATCAATGGGACACGAATGTACAAACAGTATATATTCCACTTGTGTTAAGAATTTTTAGGGTTATGATTAACATTACAAAAATCTTACTGACATAAATATGCAAGCAAATTGCATAAATCATTAAAGGTCCACCAACACCCCCCCCAAATATAAAGAAAGGTAGTGCACCCCACCCACAATTGCTATAAGACTTTAAGCCAACTGTCTCATCTGCTCCTTATCAATTCTTATGAGTGGGGGAAAAAAATGGGATAATAATTCCTGGCTACCTCATACTATAAAATGCTTACCCAATACAAAGCATTGCTTTTCTGCATGAATAAGAATGAGAAAGTTAAGTTTGGAATCTTCAGCCAATGTTCTTTGAAATCTGAGCTGGGGATATAGCTCAGAGGCACAAGTGCCTGCCTGGCAAGCATAAGGCCCTGAGTCTGATTCCTGGTATCAAAAAAAAAGATAAGAAAAATAAAATAAAATTTGAAACATATTATAATCATTTTGCTTATATATTTTTATTTAAAATTATTAACTGATAAAATTAACAGATCTAAAAACCATTAAGCTAGAATATTTCCACTCCTCCCAACCACAAATATGGGTTTATCAAGCAAAGCTGTGTATTGCTACAACTCCTTAATGGTATTATTCATAGGAGTAGAAGATCTACAACATTGTCGTGAACATTTAAAATGTTCTGCATTTCCAACTGGTGCATTCTTGTTTAAGAAAAGTGATGACTTTATCCTGAAGCAACTCACAATGCTTTTACTCAAACCCTCTATGTAATTTCATGATTCTGGAATTATCTGGTAACTCTATCCATCAACAACTTCAGTAAGAATAAAGGAGCAAAGAACAGGAAATTACGTGGAAATTCTGCTTATCAGCCTAGACAGAGTGATCAATGGAAAAAAATTAGCAACTAAGATGTCAGTGATGAAAATATACCAGTCAGAACTGTTTTTCTGCCTGAGAAAATTGAAGTGCATGCATCCCAGAAGAAACGCAGGAGGGGCCACCGAGGCATAAATTGTGATTAAAAAATGTAGTGAACGGTTAAATTTTTTAAAATAGAGTAAGAAATCATTGCCATTAATCCCCCTAAAATGACTCTCCCTCACTTATACCACAATTATCTCATCATTCTGGAAAGTTTCTGGAGTTCTGGAAGTTCCCCTTTCACAAGCATCTTTAGTTGTGCTGTTGTGGCAACTTGATGTCCTGAATGAATTAAAACATTTTCCTTGGCTGGGTATGGTGACATATGCCTGTAATCCCAGCACTCAGGAGGCTGAGGCAGGAGGACGGCTATGAGTTCAAGGCTAGCCTGGGCTGCATAGTGAGTTCAAGGCCAGCCTGAACTGCAGGGTGAAACCTTGGCTCAAAAAAAAATTTTTTGCCATTCATGGCCATTTTGACTTTGGGGAAGAGCCAGAAGTTGCACAGTGCCAGATCTGCTGAAGAAGGTGGATGAGGCCACTTTCTAACGAGCCTGTCTTTCCATTCAGTGGTACTTAGCAGCAGCACTGTATTCTTATAAAGACATTCTCAAAAGACAACATCAAGAACTGCTTCAAAAACTGTCAAAAATAATTAGATAAGTCTATTTGAAGCAAGGGAGATTAATGGCAATGTCTTTATTGTAATAATTTTTAAATGTGAACATTCACTATATATTTTGATCATCTCCTGTATGTGAAGAATATATCAAAACTTCTAATATTTTTATCCAAGAATCAGTGACAAAACTTGAACATTTAAACTTGTAGGTTAAATGTTTCAAATGAATAAATAACTACAATAATATTGTGGCATGTGTCTTTGTTCAAATATTTTTCATCAATAGAAATAGAAATAAAAAACATTTTGAAGAAATACCAACCCAGACAATATTTTTAATTTTTCTCCTGAGAAGATGGCACAGCATGTTTTAGGACAACACTGTTCCACAGGGCAGAATTTGAAGAAAGAGTATATTAAATAACAATCTGATACGAGGAAAATGACCCATGAATCTAATTCTTAGAATGGGCAGTGCTAATTGACAGCAATGGTGGTTCCCAATAAGGAAAAGGGGGAACAGGAAGGACGGCAGGCAAGCAGCGGAGCAGGCGGGCTGGCTCCTCCCCAACCATTACCCAGCCGAAGTATTAGGGGAGAAGTGGTGGGTGGAAAGGAGTTGCCTCATGTCTGGGGCACTTCCAGATTTCAGCCACTATGCCAGCCCATGATCAGCTAATAAAAGTCTGCCTGGGTTTTCTTTCTCCCACTAAAGTTTCTCTGCTGATTTTAGCACGTTTCTCTGCTGATTTTAGCACGTTTCTCTACTGATTTTAGCACGTTTCTCTGACTTCCTTGGAATCCATTGCAATAAATATGCTCAGACATGAAAGTACATTCTACTCTCTGCTCACCTAAAAAGAGATCATCTCTTCAGTGTGTTTCAACATTTTTTGCATCCACAACTTTGACGTTTTAAGGAAAAATATGACTTTTTAATTTATCCAGTGTTGTCTCATTGTTACAGCAAGAACAACGCTCTTTCCTGATCTACTACAAATTAACTGACAGTGGAACTCTCTACTTCTGTTATTTTTTCTGTTTAGGGACATTCTTACTGCTGCATATTTCTCTTAGCAAAACTCCAAACACTGCTAGATTGTTAACAGCCCTGATATCAGTAGCCTTTTATATTGTTATATATTTGTACATGTATAAGTACATTGCTGTAGGTAAATAATGTACTCAATATTTTTCTCTTTAAAGAGTGTCAACAGGTTACAACAAAGTGCTTTTCAAATTTGAATGGCGTGTTGGTTTGGGGGATATTTTGCAAGGGGAACAATACAATACAGGACACATATTTCATAAGATTATTTATAATAGTCACCCAAAGAATCATATACAAAAGAAGGCAGGAAATCTGTCCACACACTACAGACAAAAGAATCCAGCTGAGGGCCTATATTCTGTTATAATGTCCTGCATGAGTCCAGCTGAAGACCTGGAGCCCATAACAATGCCTCCCACAAATCCCATCTGGAGGCCCAGAGCCCACAACAATGTCTCATGCAGGCCTGTTTCACGGATCTGTGCTGGGAAGGCCCAAAAGTCAGTAGTGGAAGCTAGAAAGTCTATGCCAGCAGGATAAAAGACCTGTGCTTACAGGCTGAGGGAACTACACTGGAGCCAGGAAGAGATGCACAAAATAAGAACCGGAGCTCTTCTGAAAAGTACCACAGCCATCCTCAAGAGTGAAGTCCTGAGCTCCACCAATGATGAACACAACTGAGTTCCCATCAGGAAAGCCAACGCTGCAAGCTTCTCCAGGAGACGGGCAGTGCACCATCTTCCCCTCCAGAGTGAGGAAGCGATGCTCAGAGTGAGGATCACAGCTCCCCCAAAGTGAACTAAAGCCATTCTCAGTTCCAACAAGGTCCTGAGCTCCTCAGAGGA